TTATGGGGATATGTGGCTCAATAGAGCTGTGACTCTGTCAGCCTGGCTACAGTGCTGAAGAGGAACCTGGGGTTGTTCTTATTTTCTTCTATTAGTGTTGAGTTATAGGCTCCTCTGGCATTACGGAGGGCCTTTCTATAGGTCTATCTTGCCAAATTGAGCAATATACTAAAAGGAGGAATAGAATATTTTAACTTTTTTAAGTTTTTTGGAAGTTGGAAAACAAGGGAAGAAATAGGGTATGTAGCCTTTATTGACTGTAGTTAATTATGATCCTTGTTTGATCATTGATTAAGTATGAGGGCTTTATAATATTGAAACCTAACTCAGAGGGGATTCCTTAAATGACCAGTGTGTCATCTAGTGATGAAGTTGCAGATTGCAACTAACTAAACACGGCTCACATCTGTATTTGATGACGTGGGAATGAAAACGGGCTGGGAAGTGTGTAAGAGGAATTACAGTGGCCGTGAAAATTGCGAAAAATGCAAAAGGCCCTATCTACAGCCAGTGTTTGGTTGGTCCGTTCTGGGCTATCGTAGAAACATGTCTCTTCAACACGGTGGCCTAAATGGAAGGGGACCCGTAGTATATGTAGTTAGAAATGGCTCATTGTAAGGTTACAAAAACATGATTCCTTAATTGAGGTGATTATACTATATATTATATATTATATAAAAAATATATTATATTCCATTCCTGACATCATTCTTAATGTACCACATTGGGCCTTTAAGACAAAATCCTCTCAGTGACTTGAAAATGTTTGGGAGCCCCTGTTATAGGTCACTTGTGTTTTGGCAGCCCTCAGATCCCATACACAATCACTGTACTTACTGTATAAAACAGAAGAAAATGCACTTGAAAAGCACACTGTAGACAGCTGTAATGATTAAAATACCCGTAGAAGCATACCAGACTCGACTGAGAGACTTCCTGTGTTGACAAGCTGTGAGACAAATAGTATTTGTGGCTTTGAGAATTGTGAGAATTTGAAGTTGATGCTGGTTCTGGTAACCCTTTATGCCTTTGCTGTGGAGAAGTACTGGGACTCAAAGCCATGCTAATACTACAGGGTCTCCCTTCCACTGCCTGCACACAAAAAATAAAAAAAAATCAAGGAAAGTATTTTCACATGATCAAATGGCTTTCTTTCAGCATTAAGCAGCAATTATTTTGGTCCAATTTAATTTTCTTAAGTTGGGTCAACTTAATTTAATAGGGTTAATACAACTTATTTACTAACCAATTTTACAGCTGTAAAATTACACTAGAAGTTGAGCCAACCCAAGTAAACTATGTTGACCCAACTGTATTTTCCATGATTTAATTTAGTAAATTCAAAGAATAATTGTTGAGCGTAACATTTTTAAAAAGTACAACAAACAACATATAAAATAATTGTACATGTATTTGTTTTTACATCTGGCATTAACAGATACATTTCTGTTCTCCTAAGCTTCCTTTGTAACATATAACATTTAACTCGAAATTTTCAGCTTTTCAGTGCATGAAACATAAACTCATTCTGTAGTTTATGTCCACCTAAGCCATGTCTGTGTGACCTCTTGGTGGTTCGGTTGTACTTGTGTCAGATGTGTAGTAGTCAGGAAGATTGTAATCTTTCCCTGCACTTAAGAAGTTGTTTTTGTTTCATTGCAGGGAGGTAAACATAATTTTTCACTACCCAGATAGACCTGAATGATCTAATAAATGAATATGCTTTAATTAGTTGGAAAGAGCATGCACCTTCTTCTGTTGGCTTTAAAACTGTATTTTTAATCATTCTGACTATTGCAATGATGACCCAGACCTACGTGGGAGATTCATATGTTGGATATAAAGATGCCTATCAACAGATTATCCTGAGTAGAGTAAGCTTTAAACCAGAATAGGGCCTGTTTATTTATCAGCACGCTAACACTCTGTGGTCTGTTGGAGCTGCACTGTATCAGTGTGTGTACTATTTCAGCTCCAGTAGAATGTGAGAGCAGGTAGTGATGTCTGTGGGTCCTTTGCTAAATAAAGTGGAAGGCTTGATATGAAAGCAAAGGATATTCTTGGAAGTTAAGTTCTACAAACATTATGTTGTGGGAATGATGGCTAAAGGGATTTCTGTAAACAGAGCTAACCTCTCCCAGACCTCCATCCTGATCAGCAGCCTCCTATAGCCTGTGTCAGACTCAAGCTTGCAGTGTCAGGACAGTATAGTGCCAAACACTGGTAGATTTTAATTTTCTGTTCACATTCACAATTATTAAAAACAAAAAACACTACACTGACTTTTGAGTGAAGAAAAAAATGAGCTCCTGCCATGGTGGTGAGCACATCTTCTGAAATTCTTCTGAAATGCTAAACATTTCTGTATGTATGTATGTGTATCTGTATGCTTCAAACTAACTAGGCGTAGAGCAAGTCATCAAACCACATCCAAATGTAAGTGTTTCTACCTTGGCGTGGGCGATTAGACGTTCTGAAAATACAGAGTGCACTGGAGATTTTACAGTCACTAGCACTTTGACGGTCGTTTCTTTGTGGTACCTGTGATGTAGCGGAGCTAGCAGCTCAGAGAGGCTAAATAGTTGTAATATTAGTGGAAAATTGCTTTGCATGTAAATGTAGTCAATGACCACATTACATGAACAAACCAATAGAGCAATGTAACTAGATGGCTATGATGATTGGATAAATTACCTTCACGTATTTCTTGGGTGACATACTGTAGACAATGCAACTGAGCTGTGAGTACTTAAAAAGTGTTATTTTATGATTACATTATTTTTTGAGTTCAGGTTTTAATCACCAGTTTGAAACCTATATAGTATTATTAATGCAATCTTGTGTATTAAATATTTCAAAACTGCTATATTCTGCAGGGCACTTCCAAAATGAGAAAAAAGATAAAAATTTAGATCATGGATCATAAATAGATTGTGATATCTATTATAAAGCCAGATGGCTGACCACTATTTCCACAAAGTTCTGAATGGCTGCACTCAAACGCAGTGTGAAAAGCCTTTGTTGTCCATGTAAAATTAAACAGAAAGAGAAGTTGTGTGAAGAATGAAAAA